CAAGGTACAAATCTGCCAAACAAATTAGAATTAGCCCATGCGCTCTGTTGCTGTCGGTATAAATGCAAGACTATTAACAGCCCCGATAATTTTTGTTTCGAATGCTAGCCGCGCGGGTTTCTCGCGCGACTACCACGCTCGACGATGGATTTTTTATACCAGCAGACACGAAAAATCTAGTCCAGCGTGCTGAAGAGAGAGTCGGCACAAAACACGAGTCGCAGACGCCGTCGTATCGTGCAAGAAATCACAGTATGTACGCCAAGTCCGGAAACTCCAGATGTTATATGTACGTCTGCAAAAATATGCAAGAATTGGAAGGCTAGCAAATGTGCGACCGGACAGCCAATGCCAGGCACTCGCCTCAGACTGTCGATTTCTTTCGTCCGAAAATGCTACGAGTCCGGGACTTGCTGCGGGGCTTCTTGTCTGACGTGGATGTTTGACGACCGCGAGATCGTCTGCCCGAGTCTTCGTCGTCAGACATGTATTTGTCCTTGTAAATCCTAGAGAGTGGTCATTAGCTATCCCGCTATTCACTTCCAACAGGGGACCAAGGGTTCCATACCAGCTGTTTCCAACCATGCTCATGCCCTTCGCCTCCGCCATTCGGTAGAACTTGGCTGCCTTCTTCAGATCCTTCTTGCAGCCAATTCCCTCCGCATAGCAGAATCCCGCCTCCGCCAGGGCATCCACATCACCCCATTGGCCAGCAATTTCGAAGCACCGCAAGGCGAGCGATTTGTCCTGTTCGATACCCCAGCCCTTGAGATGACTCACACCTAGTTCATAGATAGCCAAGGCAAACTGCGCACGGAGTGCCTTGCGTGCTGCAATATCTTCCTTAGTCCCGGAGTTGTCATCTTCAACCATTTCCAAGCCCGCACAGTCCACGGCCTTGCGTAGCCACTGCACCCCTTCTTTTGGATTGGGCCGCATTCCCCAACCGTGCCTGCATGCCAAGGCATACAATAACATCCCCGTCGGATGGTTTTGCTTGGCTGCAATGCGTAGATGGTAGGTAGATTCCTGCAGAGAGCCGTTCTCATGGCATTCTATGCCCTTCTGGACGTGCTCTTCTGCCGTCATATTTATGACGGACGACGCAACAGTACGGGCCGTCTGCGGTCGGACAGTGCTTTCCGAGTCAGCGGACGATTTCGTCTCATCAGGGTTCTCGCGAGGAGCTTCCTGGGATGGCCGCTGCGTTGTCGTGGCGGCAGCGTCAGCCGGCTGGATGCTTGTAGAGGACGGCGAGGCGTGCACTTCGGTTTTCTGGGGCGATTTTTCCGGAGTCTTCGACGCCGTCTCCTGCGAGTTCCGAGGAGGAGGAGGAGAGGGGGTCCGATTCCGGAAGGAAGTGCTCCGTGGCGACGGCGAACTCTCAAAGAGTGGTTCCTTCCATTCAAAATGCGGAGTCTGCAGACCGGAGAAGATCTGGGAATTTCTGGAAGGCTTCCGTCCCCGGGGAAGCGGGTATTTGGTGTAGATATAAGACGAGACCGCGGATGAGGGAACGTCCTCCTCCGGGGTTGATCTAGCCATATTATCGGGTTCGGAGACGTTGATCGGCGCGGGCTTATTTTCTCGTTGGATCCCGACCGGGTGATGGTGGTGGTTCGAAGGAGGTTCGGATGAAACCCCGGGCGACGGTGCTGACAAGCTGGTACTGGACCGACTCAGGGGCCGGGAGAAGTTGAATGCTGGACGAGGAAGGTGGCCGGTGTTGGAGGCCTCCGAACTGATCGACGGCGACCGCGGACGTGATCGCGTGTACGGCGATATGGGAGAGTGTGGCATCGACATGCCACTGCTCGAAGAGAGCTTGCGAGGCTTGGAGAAGGTAGAACCGGCATTCGAACTGGTATAGTCATCGTCGGAGCTCTCTGGCTGCATGTTCTTCGGCGGTAATGGGGAGACAGGAGGGGCGAGCGTGGTCGAGATCTGGGGTCGCGATGAGTCCGTCGAGGAGCCCCGCGACTCCGCGACTCCTACTGGGTCGGCAGCAGGAAGACTGTTCGGATGCTCATCCTGATCTCGTCGCAAGTTAAGGTCCTCTTCGGGAGACTCCGCTCGGGGCGCTCCAAAGTAATCGCCTTCTGGGGGTTGATGATCTTCTGGCGGATTCATCGCTGGCTCCACTGGAGTCTGGTCGGAGTCCTCATTTCCATCTTCGCTTCGGAGGATGGAGAGACCACTTAAGCGCGGGTGTTCCGACTGCGGTCTGAATTTGGGTTCCTCCACCGCCGGGCTCGATGCCGGCTCCGGACTTCGTGTCACTTTGTGCGAACGGTCTGATGCTGGAGAGCGGAAATAACCCGGTCGCGGCTGCGATAGAGACCTGGCGACGCTGGCAGGAGGCAGCCTGCTCATGCGACGGTCTCTCTTCATCGACTCATCCAGTTGTCTGGCCAGCATTCGGCCCTGAGCGGCGAAGGCGTCGAGCGGGGAGAGGGCGGGGGGAATTTCACCATCGAAATGCTCAATCCGAGGAGACGGAGCTCCTCGACCGGTCCGGGGTCGCCCATCGCCCTGCTGGGACCGAAGATCCAGATAACCAGGCCGCGAGGACATTGTCAATATGGTGCAGAATCGAAGAAGTCAAACTATCAGGCGAAATGTTCGGTTCGCCGGCCGAGCGGAATCCCACGACGCAAGAAAAGGGACAACGGACGAACAGCAGCGGAATTGGTCAAAGAAAACGAATGTCTTTGCAGTCCTAGACGAAGGCCGGTCGCGACTTGCTTCTGCATCTGGAGAGGAAGACGGTCTGACGAGAGGCTTCGGGCTAGAGCCTGGCTGAGACACGAAATCGGCGGAAGCAAATCAGGTTCAACCCAGACAGGAGATAGGAGGGGGCGGACGGCAAAGGAGTGACGGCCCAACGGTACGAAGTAGGGAACGGACAGCTCTCAGGTCAGCATACCAGGCGATGGGAGCAGAGAACGGCGAAAGAAACGAGCGACTGGAATCTACAAAGCGTCGACGGCGTCTGGACAAGAAACGCGCCCAGGGGAAGCGTGGGTGGGCGGTGATGAGGGAGGAAGAGAGGGAGCCTGAAGCCTGAGGAGGAGTTAGGTAAGCGGGTTGGAACGGGCTAGTCAGCGCTGGCCATGGCAGCGCCCGATCGGTGCTCGTCAGGCTCGCCAGACAGAGGATCAATAAGAACGGCAAGACCTGGGCAGTGAAGGTTCAGACAATAATCCGTCCACAGCTGGGGCAGACGGGGCCTCTATCCGCATACCAATGGATGCTGCGCTGCCGTTCTCCACGCGGAGGCTGACAGCAGCGGACTCTCACACGCCCGGCCGGCTGCTGACCCGCCGTGGCCGCCTCGACACTCAGGGGCTCGTTCAGGAGTTCCCAGGGGTAAGAACACGAGAGAGAACCATCGAATCCAGCGCTGCATGTTTTCTGCTCGAATCAGATCAGGTCCTCAGGCCTTGGCAGGCTTGGCTTTTCTCGGCGTGCAGAGGAGGATTTCGTCCCAAGCGTGCAGCGATGCGACGGATCGTGTGACGGAAGCAAAGTTTGGCGGTGTTACAACTCCTCCAGCAGGAACATCCGTCGTGTCGGAGTTGCCTCCAGTCTTCACAGGCCTCAAGTTTCAACTTCAAGATCCAAAACTCATGGAGAGACAGGGTTGCGCGGCTGCAGATCAATAGTCCCGCGGCCGGCCAACCAGAGCTCGCCGGGCGGCAATCGGCCTACTATAATTATCAGTGCGGCGCTGGCAGTGGG